CAACATCAAAACTTGTTGACAGGGAGTTAGGTGGTCCACTTCCCCGTAAGAATCCCAAGTATATTGAAAAGTCAAATAGAATTCGTCAGCTGTTCAGCAAATTTCATTTGCGCTACCCCCGTTCTTATATTGAGAGCATTGCGTACAGTACACCAGACTCTGTAGTTATGAAGAAAGATCAAAAAGCTGCAAAAAAAGCAGCTGCTCCTGATAATCATTGAAATTTTCGGCTTTTTTTTTCTTTTTTTTACTGCACTGAACCATACCTCAGATTGTTTGTTATTACCGTATCAATTTTTAGTTTTCATTTTGTTATTTCATGAATTTGTTGGAAATAAAATTGTTATTCAACTTCGCAGCTGTTTTCTTTGGTCCACACAAAAAGGATAGGTCAAAAGCTTGGCGCGCGAGATAGGGATCAAGTCCATGGGTCAGATGCTCGTCTTGGAAAAACGAGAGGATTAATAAGCTCATTAAGAAGGGCTTTGGAGGATAGGTTGAATTCACGTAGGTCGGATGCTTGTCACCCAGAACAAAGTTCCATACACATATTTATTTACAGTGAATTAAACTATGAAGAAACTCAACAGCAGCAAAATTCTTACATCTTCAGCATTACATTGTATTTAAAAAAAAACACAATATTCATCAAAATATAGTCGAAGAATAAAAATTTGGAACATTTTCATGGAAGAAGAGAACGTCCAATAAAAAAAATCAAGACACGAGGGAAGGTTCAAAAGTTTTGTCAGTACCTTGAAATGAGGTACTTTGAGTACCCAAGTTTCTGAGTCAGAATCCTCCAAACCACTGCTGTAGGATCAAAAAGAGGACATGAAACGAAATATTTTTAAAAAGGGATTCCTAGCTCTATCGCAGCGCCGATTCCCCGACGATTTGACATTTTAAAGCAATCTTCTCTTTCAGCATCCGTGACATACAAATTTCCAGGATCCGATTATCGGTATTTTTATCGTAGCACGGACTGAAAATTTTTTGATTTACAGTCTTATAAAAATGGTTCATCTCTTGACAAATACATTCACGAAATATCCAAGCTAGTCATGAGGTGAATAAACCGTACTTCTTCGAACTGGACATTTTCTATCTTCTCTCCCATCCAAATTTCGTACGCCGTCATAGAAACATCGGCGAGAAAATTGGAAATAATATAACTCAGAAAAATTATGTGCAGTATTCCAACCATCAAGATTCAAGAATTGCAAAAGTCAGGGAACTTCAAGACTGACAAATCTCATGAACCAACCCATGCATGATTTAGTTGTTGAAGTAAATTGAAGACACAATTCTCATGGGAATTAGAAACTTAATTTCTTTCAAAACTGTCCGGAAGTTTAAGATGAGTTTTTGAACATCATTTCATAATACAAGATTTTAATTTCATCCGTACGAAAGGAATCAAACAACAACATTGCAAAGTGAATATTCTTCAACAGCTCTAGTGAATTCCAGAATTTTTGTGACTGATAACGGAACAATCATGCGTTCCGACACTTATCAAGAAAAACTGATCCAGAGCTCCATATCAACCTCGAAGTGCTTTGAAATGAGAGCGAAACGAAAGTCAGACAGAAGAAGGAACCAAATCGAGCACCTATAAAGCGAAAAAGTGCCTTTTTCTTTATGGAACCCGCGGATATAGTGTACAAAATAAAATTGTAACACAGGCGTGATCCGCGCTAATGCAAGAAAGAGATGAGGAGATAATAAAAACATTGGCCTACCTGAGAAGCCTTCCAGGGAGCAAACTGGGACAGAGGGGAAGCACGATCAAGAACAGCGAGCAAAACCGAAAACACCACAACCCCCACAATGATGCAACAAAAAAAAATCACGACACCAACCACGCCCCTCAACAGTCTCCCAGTGAATTCACTTATTTCAAGTACCAAGTAACAAATCAAGCACCACCCGGAAGGACACGAAAAAGAGAATCTTTCGAGACGGCGGCTGAAGGCTAATGAATCCGCATGCGCTCAAACAGAACAATTACTCCATACCGTATTCACTACAATATAAAACATTAATTCTTCCTCAAAAAAGTAGCTAGATAATCAGGATGTTATTCACTGGTAACGTGCATAAAGCCTTCTGTTCGACACAAGAAGTTCAATAACTGAAATAACGTTAAACAATTTCTCGACGACATTTTCAACTTAAACGCAGAAGAGTTTCAATCCCGATTTCTCTAAGAAGTATTCAAGTACAGATAGAAGTGGTAACTGAAGCACTAGTAAAATCAACAGACACCTTTGATCGAAGAAATCGGGAGTGACGAATATCATACATATCGCATCTGAAAGTTAACATTTTTCTATGGCACAACAAAAGTGCATTTTTGGAAGAGATGGTGCCTTATATTTGAGTCAATACGGTACTGTATTTATTTTTCCAGCCGTTTCGGAACGCAGCATGCGGATTGCAACAACGAAAAAATTTGCGATCACAGATTTAACTAGCAAGAACTTTCGTAACACGGGGCAATAAAAAATCCCCAGATATGACCGGAAAAATCGCTCCAAAGAAACGGCGTCAAATCCGTTGATGCAACAATGCGGGATGTTTCCAAAATTCGTCCAAAAATTATCACTCAAGCAACACCATGAGTATACCTCAGCATTTGAAAAACCTTCAAGTGCCGCATTCTCGACAAAAAATTGAGCCAATGAGCTTGATTCCCCAAGGACATGTTTTTACAGGGAACTTTTTCAAACCACTGATCCGTCCAAGATTTCAACAGATTGACGACCAAACGCTCTGTTTCACGTAATTTATTTTTCTTTCTTTTTGCTAACAGAGAAACTTTGAAAGCAGGTGATTCAGCTTCGAAGCGAGTTCAGTGGAAGACGCTTTTCTTAAAATACTATGATTAAAAGGATTACTTCCGCATCTCCGCCTGAGCCCAACATTTACAACAGACACATACCAGCCTGATCTCCCAAAACGGGGCAAAACAAGTCTTGGATTCCCAGATCCAAAAAAGAAGTCAGTAAACTTATAATTCGAGAAACAGTAGCACACCATATCGCGTACTCGCTTCCCCAAGAAGAAAAATATACCAAGTGAACAAGAAAATGCAAGAGATAGGTGAAAAAAAGTATATGCGCAGAAAAAGATGAGCATAGGAAGAGGGTATTTCACAGAATTATTATTTCTTTTGCGTATTCCAAGCCCATCCAGGAAAGAAGCTCATCCCTCGAAAATAAAAACAATGGGTGTTCTTACTCGCAAGGAGGTACGTGACCTGGAGTTTTCCTTGTCCTTCTCTTTTTCCTTGGTGGTGCTGCTCTCCTGCAAACCGCCAGCGTAACTGCGCGAAAAGTTTCGCCCGAGAGACCCGCCCAACGACAGCTTGTCCGCTCGGCGACGCTCAGTCTTCGCCCTCTTGATCTCCTCTTCCAGCGTGGATCTGAAATAATCGCAAATTTTGATCACACTTCAAGTTTTTGAAGGTTTTCCCAAACGTTGAATAATTTTCGAAAAATGGAAGGAAAGAATTGTAAAAGTTACAAAAGGTTCACGAATCAACGATTTAAATTGACAAGATTACACTTGACTGTAGTCAACGCCTGAAATGCGCATACGGTACATAAATTTACTCGAACATCAGCAGCGAGGTTTGGATCATTATTTCCATCAGCCTTGAGAAAATTTATCTAAATTTTCCTGTTTCCTTAATGCTTCCTCTTGAACATACAGTATACTGAAAATTCGCCCCACTGGATATTTTCAAGAAAAGAGCCATCTACGCCTTGACTTTCTCGTGACGCAGATCACAATAATGTTTTAAAAAGTCTCCCTCTACAACAATTTTCTCTGTGAAAGGCTTTCTTCGTTCCGTAGGAGTCACTTTTGATTTTATAGAGGTTCTCTACACCGAATTTCTTCTGTTCCCCTGAAGTACGATGCGGAGAGTGCATCTGAACATAATTTGTGAAGTGACATCCTCGAATAACGTCCACGTCATGATTGTACTGTACATTTTCACGACGGATCGGAAAGCTATGACATGGAACCGCTGACGATGTTTGCCATCCAGAATTTTCGCTTCTCTATTTCTTTGTTTGAAAGAAAAAGATTATGAACAGAGACACACCGAGCAGGAGCAACGAGAGCATCCAGTTCCGCGGCCAAGTGTCGTCTGATGATCGTCTTGGAGTTGGGAATCCCTAGTGCCGACGCCATCGTATCTCCGGTGAAGGACTCTTCGAGTACCACAAGAGCGCCGTGAACCCCACTCTCTGCGAATGATTCAGCGAGAATATGAGCTCGCGGCATACCACACAAATCGACGCAACAATCATTATTGGAATACCAGACGAACCTCTCAGATTTTCCGCATACTCGCCCAGATCGATCGAGCGCACCCAATCGATGAATCTCTGGTTCGTCCACACGAGCGGGTCGCGGAACTCGACTCCATCGCAGCTCTGGCGCCTGTCGTTGAGAATCTAGAGAGGAACAAGAAAGGGTTATCTCTCATATTCGCAATTCAAGGAGCTTACACAAACCCATGAACACTTTCATGATAAAATCCCGCGGTCGGTACAAAATTTCCGAACAGTCAAGAGCATACAGGAGCTGCAAAAATAGGAATACTGTACCTGTAATTCCGGAAGAAATAGACCGCCTGCATTCTTGAAAACAATCGAAGTTGCCGCGGAAAATATGCCCACACAAGCGTAAGTTTTCGAGAGGTGCTGGTTGCGCTAGCGTTTGCTGTTATGTACTTCATGATAAATATATACAATGTTTATTCAGCAAGGAAACAACCAGAAGATCAGGAATGGATTCGTCATTCATCCATTTCGATTTACATATCACTCATTCAAGGGAGTACAGTATTTGGTCAGGGGTCTACCGGCCTGGAACCATGATAGCATTCTAAGCATCTTAATTTATTACTTGCTTGATATACTTCTCGAATGTTACAGTCTTGAAACACATTCCACTACAGAACTTTTCTTAAACTCAATTTCGTTTTCAAAAGGAATTCTCAAATAAAGCAAAACTACGCAACCTGGAAGACATTTTTGCTTTCACGCCTATGATTTTCGTTTTAGAGCAGGGGTGCTCAAGATATTTACGGCCCGCGGGCCAGATTTGGCCTGTGGAGGCCTTCAAACTGGACCGCAAACCATCCCTAAAAAATTGCCTTAGCTCAAGTTTGAAAAAAAATGGCTGAAAGCAGTGACACACAAAAACTGACAGTAAGATTGTTCAATCAAAAATGGACAAGCAAATATTTCTTCACAATCTTCAATGGCCAAATGCTTTGCCTTGTTTGCCATGAAAAAAATTCCAGTTTTCAAGGAATAAAATCTCTGCAGGCAAGTCCAAACATAAAGACTTGAGCAAGATGAATTACTCAGAGAAATTGCCAAGCTTGCTGAAAAAAGTAAGGGACTTGTTGAATTGTTTAAATTCAAAGGAGTACAATATTTTGAACATTTTAGAGGGTTTAATTTTTTAAAAACGATTGTGGCTCACATAGAAGGCTTGTTTTTTAATGTGGCCCTCGACCACTTTTGGGTCGGCACCCCTGTTTTAGAGTGATGTACTGTACTGTATGAACATATTTCACATGTATTCAAAATCCATCATGGAATCATTAATTATAAACGGTAGTTGTTTCGGAAAAAATGCTCGCCGCATCATCGACGCATAGCCGCGGGAATTTTCTCCCGCACTCAGCATGACAACTCATTCCTTACAACCGAAGCATCATTCACGAAGAAAATGGTTCGGAGATGACGACACTTGGTGCCCGGGGCTGTAATGATTCTCGATGCTCATGCTGAAGCTTCAAGATGCCACCGGAAGAGATACACTCACCTGAACATCGTACTGAACCATTCGCAGCAGGTGCACAGCGTGAAACAGGGAAAGTTGGTGGAACTTCCGCGATACGCCGAGGTACTTCTCCATTTCCCGTTTGGTCAGATGTTCGAGCATCCTGCCGTCGATCAGGTGGGCAGCGAAAACTTCTGCGAACTGTAAACCCATTGAACGGAACGATCAACACAGCAACAGTCACTCCGCGTATACTAAGTTTAGTGAAAGGAATCACTGTAGTACCAATCTGCGCTAATTTTTTTCTTTTCGCTTCAACATCTGACTTACCCGTACATTTCAAATATGCATGTATGTGCAGTCATGCATAGTTCAAGCAGCGACGCGCTTTATATAAATTTGTTCTCAACCCTTCCCCGATATGCACGAAGCGGTTCATCACATGTACGAGTTCGGTAATTGCGTTTCTCCGAAATGGTGACTCATATAGACTTCCAAGTTTCAAAACGATTTCCACAAATTGCTCTGAATATTCGTAACTAGGTCTGTCTTCTCAAACAGCCCTTCACTTGACTACGTCGTTAGCTTTCCGTCAGATTTTAGAATTTATCTCTATGACAAGTATCACACCTGGCGTTAAACCAACTTTTGCAGTGGTCCTTTACAGTTACACAGCATTTCAAGGTTATGAAGGGCAATCTTTTTTCTCCTCCAAGATGTACAATGAATCAAGCGATCGAATTGCAATTGAGGAATTTCGTTACTATCTCAAAATTTGAGAACTAAACAAAGTAAGCCCAGCCTTTTTTTTTCGAAAATAACTAATGTTATGGAATACAGTATCATTTCCTTTACGAGATACTGTAGCTATGACTGAATCATCGAATAGACCTCGTTGGATTCAGTTAATCCTGAGTCATATGACTTAGCTTAGGTGATCAATTCATGAGTCACTAATTGTCACTGAACGTTCTGTTCAAGTGCCACAGAATCCTTCATCATACCTGAGGCAGGCCAACATCTTGAAGCCATTGCAACGCGACCCAAGGATGACCCAACGACGCCATTTTCGGAAACTGCGAGCAGATGGCGGGACACCGGTGTTCCTCGATCGCCAGCCGAAGCTTCTTGCGATGCAGCGGTTGACTGATCCCGAGTCCGTTGCACAAGTCAGAGTCAGACAGCTCCAGCAGCACCTTGCCAGACTTGACGTTATGTGCGACACCTACTGCATACTGCGGCATTCCAAGCGACAATTCCAGCCAGGCTTGAATCGTCGGGGCTCGCCATTGTTCCAACGGGATCGTTTGTGCCTCCTCAAGCAGACGAAGCTTTTCCGAGTAGCTCTGTGGCTCGGCGTACACAGAGTTCGAGGGGCTGTCGGTGAGCTGAATCATGTGTTGGCTGGATGTCGGCGATGTGGGTGCGCACATGGACCCGCGCGGCGACCAGCTGTGCCGTTCGTTGTTGATGGAGTTCAAATCTAAACCAGGGCGAAACACGGATAAGTCATCAGTAATGCTCAGACAAGAGCCCGAATGTTCACGCATGAATGGTCTCTTATTCAAGCTACACAACTCAGAAACGACTCATCGAACACAATCCCCCAGCAGATGACGGGGACGAACATACTGCGTGTTGCTGTAGACCCGGGGTTTTTCAACCTTCCCATATACTGTACACGGACTGCACCACTTTCAAGAAATGGAGTGGCTCCAAATCACCTCAAGTAAATCCACAACATTCTACCCTGGCTTCATCTCAAATTAGAAATGGATTACATCGTATACACATTTCGGAAGTCCCACAGGCAAGCATCGTATCATGCATGCATGCACTTCATGCATTCTTCTTTCGCGTTTCTGAGGAGTCTTTGGCAAAAAACAGTGTTTAACCTGTTTGAATTCCTCTCCATATTTTTTTGAGAAACATTAACGCTCTCAAATCCACTATACAGCATATATATACCCGTATTCATGCTGGAGTCAGCGCTAGAAAAATCTTGGGAATTACAGCCACGACTGACGTTCTATCTGAATAAAAATTCCTGGGGTTACTGAAGAGGAATTACTGTACAGTATAAGAATGGCCGGTTCCTTCAGTATAGACCAGTTTTACCCAACCATTTTGGGCCCATGGACCGGCAAATTTCCATAAAATATTTTGCAGACCAGCAAATAAAAAAAAAAAAAAATTCTGCAGACCGATAAAGTTTTGTAAATGTCTTCAAAATTTGGAAACATGGGCTTGAAGAAAGATTTCTCAGAATGAAAAATTAAAATAATTTATTTCAGCTGCTGAAAATCTGTCCGAAACATTGGTAGGAGAAAAGCCAACTTATTTTTCATGGGATAATTTCAACTGTAATTGTCTTTCCAAAATTTCAGAAAAAATAGGACTTTTTTGCTTTTTTTGATAGATTTTTTATGCTGAAGAAAATTTTCTGCAGACCAGTGAACAATTTCTGTGGACTGGCGCCGGTCCACGGACCACGGATTGGGGAAAACTGATACATAGACCACGTATGTATATATATCAGTCTAAATACTGTATTGATATACAAACTGATATATACAGTGGCCTAACTGCCTAACAGACCTCCCGCGTACGGGATTTTTGCTTAACAGACCAGCTCTGTAGGCAGTATTTCCTCCTGCTCAACAGACTTCTGTTGGTTTAAAATTAGTGTTGACAAATACAAGTTTTACTGTTTTATACAATTAAATTCGTGAAAAGGACTTTTCTTCCAAAAGACTTGTCCATTACACAAATTAAGTCCGTTCGACGGGGGTTGACTGCAGTCGCCTATTAGCATGTTATACACCTCATAATATAAAAAATACATCAAGACTACGATTTATCAAAAAGAGAAGGAATATATGCTGACCAGCTTGCAACTGGGCTTCGAAGTACGCAGTGCTGTCGAGGGCCTTTCGGGTCTTGTTGCGCGAGAACACGCGGGAAATGGAACCCCAAGTTCCCTTCATGCCAAGCCCGAATCCCTTGGAACCAGAGGACGATGACGGGTTTCCTCCGGGATGCAACAGCAAGCCCTTGCCCATCGAAGGAGGCTTCAGTTTGCCTTCTCGCGGGTCCTGCGAGGGTCCCATGGGTGCGCTGTAAATGTGTTCCACGGACCGAGACAAGACGCCGCCTTGCTGCTGGCCGACGTTCAATGAGCTCAAGTCTCGGGAAGTGATCGCTATATGTTGACGAATTCGAAATGAAAAAAATTGAGCTAACCATACAGATTGATACGCTAATGCATTTGAAAACAGAATTTACGAAATCAAACGGAAAGAAAGAACATGCACAAAACAATCGAAATTCGCGGTTAGACAAATTCCTGATACACCACCCAGAACGCTTGAAACAATGATATGAACCCGAAATGTGCAGACCGATTTTTTTTTCAACAGCAAAATCTCCCAAATCGTTGCATCGAAATGAAAAATTCTAATTAATTCAATATTATTTCGAAGAATGTCCAATTTTTATTTGTTTTAAACTAAAACGGATTTTTCGAACGACGTGAAATTCGACGATCACTTGAAAAAAAAATTTAACTTGATTAAACGTGAACCTCTCGACAATCATTTAAAACTGTCCACTAAGAAGTGCAGTAGAACTGGTCACCCAAATCTTTTCAGGAAACATTGCGGTTTGAAAAATTGGTCTAATTCTTTCTTTTAAACTGCATGCCTTATTGAGCCTCAAAAATTTTTTCCAACAATGAAGCCCTTTAAATTCTACAGAAATCAAAAAGTTCTTTCAAAAATTCAGGCATATTTTACTGAATTACACAAAATATTTTGAAGATTTAAACAAATTTTTCTGTCGGTTCTTTCCGGATCTCCTCGTAATTTCGTTTCTGTCTTTTATTCCAAAAAATCCAGAACTCGAATCCTATAGCTGAGCTGCTTTTCCTGCTGAAGACAGTATCAGACTTTTTTTTATGCTAACGCTTTGAAAATTTTGCAGGACATTTTTCCAAATCCAAAGAACTATTTTATCAGAGGAAAAAAGTGATGAAGCAGGCCATTAGTTAATATACATAAGTATATGTACAGATGCTTATCGAAGTTCCTAAATTCGAGTGAAGTTCTACAAAATATGTACACAGGGTGAACAATCGATTCAAAGTTCAAATCAAATGCTAGTCAATGAGAGAGAGAGAAAAAATGGACATGAAAAGACAACGACGACATAATGCCGTGCTTTGAAACCATCTCACGTTCGGGAGCGATTTTCGGTAAAAATCATCATCATCACAGAGTCGAGAGAAAAATGCGATAATGTGCATATAGAGAGCGAGACAAGAAACGTACAGGCGTAAAGAAGGCTCGGGGCAGCCTTCCTGTAGTACTGAGAGGAGTAGTAGCTAGACGGCGTTTGGCAGTAGTAGGGAGCTTGGTAGTGACTACTACCGGACCCACCACTAGTGCACTCCCCGTAAATGGGTTCCCCTGTTGAAGTCCGACCACCAGACGCACCTTCGAAATATCAATAACCAACCGAGCCACCGTCACACATGAAACTACACAAGGCATATGTACAAGTTCACCAGAGGAAACCCCTCTCCTTTTTTTTTCTTTGTTCATTATTAATGTCCGGGCACTGGTACCCCCGACAATGGACGCCTCGCTTAATGGATTCTTCGAGCATTGGGTTCACAAAATATTGCACCGGAAAGGGAAACTTCGGGTAGCAGACTGCATGAAAAGCAACGATGCAAAATATTATACTTTCCTTATTTGCGAAGAATGGCAGACTGCATAATTTTTCACAAAATGGTGTCACACAATTTTTCATCGGAAAGGGAAACTTCGGATGGTAGACTGCATGAAAAGCAACGATATAAAACTTGTTTAAAAAAACGGAAAGCCTGTTTCATATTTCAAGCAAGATATTTCCAAGCAAGATAATTCCAAGATATTTTTTGAATATCTTGGAATGTGCCAAAAGTTTATGCCGCCGTTTTACACTAAAATATATTTATGCATTCATAAATTCATGAAGGAGATTTCCAAGGGACCTAGAACCGAACAAAAATTTCATATATAGCTCCATAAATCTTGTTGAAGGGATTTTTCGTGAGTCTGGAACGAAGTACCAAGCTTTACATTATTTGGTTTATGAACTTTTCCGGATGATGGAATTCCGACAAGACATCAATTCCATCACCAAAGGCACTAAATTATTATTCAGGGTAAACTGCAAATGTTCCGTCGACTCACCCAATTTTAAATACTGTACCTTATTACCTGAAAAAAACTCCGTTTCCCTTCACAATTAATCGTTAAAAGAACCCCCCACCCTCGAGGAAAATTATAGAATTTGTCAGAAGAATGTCAAGTACTCTATCACGGGAAAGGTCGATCAAAGTTGTTAAAAATAAAATCAGTGACAAACAGAGAATATTAAAAAAAAGGCAGCAGACCGAAATCGAATCCTTGATTTTCTGAAATACTATCCCACGTACTTCTAAAAATGTATCCCGTTTTCTGGAGTCAGCTTAATTATGTCAAGATAATCTCGTCAAAGTCGCTTGGGTCACGTTGGGATAGGTTCAGTTGTGACTGCAATATCTTTCACGGAGAAGAAAAACAATTCTAAAATGTGTGGGAATATCTGATAAATGAACAATAATAAGAATAGAATTCATGAGACGCCAGTAATTTCGTGGACTACAAAGAAATCAAAGATTTGAATCGAACGATCTAATTTCGAATTTCGACAGCGATTTTGCACCCCAGATTTGAAAAAAATGTATATATTGGAAGTCTATGCACAGGGAACAGATCCCAGCCTAAAGTTTTTGTAAAAGTACAGCAAATTCGCACAACAACGGAACAACACAGCTGTGAGAAAATACTGCAGCGAGTTGAAAAGGCAAGGTTTAGTTTAAAGTTTCATCTAAAATTTGAAGAAGACAGCATATTATTTAGAGTATCTTGGATCACGCGAATTCTTTTTTATCCCAATATTCAGGCCCTGCGTCACAAACCAAAACAAATTGTATTTTTTTGGGAATCAATAAGGCGGGATTTTCCTACACATTTAATTTCTTTCCAGAAATTCAGGGAGTTCTTTTCACACAAAGGGTAGTAGATCTACGTCTGGTTTCCCTCTTGATAGAAAAATAGATACAGAAGCGGAATTCCCTTCTCCAGTTGAAGTCATTCAAACGAGAGAGAAAAAAACAAAACAAGTTTTACCTTCCTGACTGGCGGCAGAATCGGACAAAGTGCCAGTGACTGTGTTGACGCCGGAATCTCGATCGCTGCTTCCTCGGATCCCGGGATCGCGTTCGGTGCTGGTGCGGCCGTTTGGGGTACCCGGCACAGCCTGACTGCCCTCGCCCGAGGGATTCGAACCCGAGTCGCCCGACGCTGACGTCGAGGCGGCGGCGCCCGGGTTCGGGCCGCCGTTTTCCGTGGCTGCGGCGCCGGTGTCTCCGTCGCGTCCGCTTTCCGCATCGCTCGTCGCCCCGCAGCTCAGGTTCGAAAGTCTATTGCGCGTGTTCTGTGGATTATTGCCATAAATAATGAAAATTTACACAAGATTCACTTTCGATTTCGTCTTCTTAATCTCTAGAAGCCTAGAGTTTCATCTTGGAAACGGCAGGAAAAAAGGAAGTACGCCAACGGCTTCTAAATGGATCTTTCCTGATCTCCACCATTGAAACGCAAAAATCGTATCTTCATTTGATATAAGCTTTTAGGCATTGTTATTGAATAAACAAAAATATAATAATTGTGTCAACAACAACAAAAAATGAAAAAAATCCCCTCAGTGCCAATCCAACATTTCAGAAATGAACCACAATAAACCGTAACAGTGAAATCGCGAGATTTTTTTCTTTCACCACACAGTCTGAGAAAATTGTAGCCTCAAAATTGATTCTTCGAGCTTTTCGATTTGAAAAAAAAAAACGATTACTGCATTTGAAAATGACGTGAGAACGTCAACCGGTGGCGTATAAATCAATGTACCAAAAGTAAGAGAATGGCGAGGCGGAAGCATTTTTGCACTTCCGCCAAAATCTGGAAAAATTTCGGTGGAAAATTTTTTCCTGAAAAACGCAACAATGGCCGGGAGTAAATCGAAATTCAGAAAATCCTCTGGCGGATAACTGGAATTAATTAAATTGTGTAAATTAGCCGGATTTGACCCAGTTTTGTTCTCGTTTTAGAGCGCAGGAAATTCGATCATTTTTGTGGAGAAATGCTCGAGAGGTGGAAAAGGCAAATACGAGCATACATTTACAGTACAGTATTTACTTTCGTTTCACAGCAAGGGCTGCTATTCCTTCCTCAATTTAAATGTCAAAGGCGATTTTCGACGACCACAGACTTATTCAGAAAAAAAAAACGTCGAAAAGAAGCAAATGTGTGCAAAGTAGCCACTTCAAGACAAAAAAAAAGAGGAAATTCGAACCGACGTTAACGACAAGCCGCGGTTTTGCACAGCCTTCACTCGGCGGCAAGAAGCGTGACTAAAAGTCTTTCGATCATGCAAATATAGCACACAAACAAACAGCCGCCAAAGATTTTAATTTTTGCAGTTCCCCGTCAAGGATTATTTGCTTGAAAAGGATCACCGAATTGTGCCAAGGTCTGCTGCCTCATACTATCCATCGCATTACTATATTCATTTTCTTATCTTTAGGGCCAAAAAAAAACCTCTTTTCTGAGTAGTGATTAAAATTATGCAGTACTAATGATGCGCAAATGAAACCATCCTCAGTTTTACTCACTCAAGAAATTAATTTTCCCCGATGCGTCGAAAAACAAATCAGACATTCGGCACGCACTAGTTCACTTCCCAAGACATTTTCTTTTTCAGACAGAGATTTAATCAATGCGAACGGATTTTTATTTTTCTGCGGTTCTGTGTTTATTACAATCAACGATTTTCAACGGTTCTCAAGCCAGTGAAATCGCAATTCCATGCGGGGTAAAGCCAAGAAATGCTTAACGGAAACGACACGCGAACTTGAACCAAGAAAGGAGGGGGGAAATCTATAGTAAATAATCCTGAAATATGTTTGAGATCTGTTCCAAGGACGTCTTACACCTGCGCGGCATATTTCATTTCTTTTCAGCGGATCTCTCCTCCTTTTCCAACACCCGACAATCGGGAGGAATAAAAAAAAAAAAGGGGCTCTGATGTCGAATCCAAACTTGCAGAGTAGAGAAGTGTATACTGTACTGTACAAGAAAAGAATAGGACTTGTCGACTCACCTCGTCCCTTGTTTGACGCAATTCGTCTTGAAGTTGACGTACCATGGCGTCCTTGCTGCCGAGTTCGGCTGCTAGCTGAACACACCGCTCGCTTTCTTCTCGCACGTGTTTCAGCAGGTTCCAACGCTCTCTTTCCACGACCTCTCGTTCCCCGGCGAGACTTCTGATGGACATCTCGCTTTCTTGCATTCTCTAAAAACAGGAAGACGCAACGAAGTCCGGTTTATTAGATATCAGCCAAACCTCTCCAAGACAAATTTCAAGGGACCAGCAAAGAGCCAAATTCAAATTCGGGAGATTTTGAGTTTGGGACGTTTTTAGCTTAGGGAAAAAAAGCATTTCTGTCGAGGGAAATATTTGAGAATTGCAAAGGTCTAAATTTTCAGATGAAAATATCAAGAAAATTCGTGGATTTAGATTCGAATGTGATTCGAAGTTTACAGCAGCAAGAGAAGAAATGAAAAAAGGCAGGGAATCCGAAGAAAAGGTTTGCAATCAAAGATAGAAAGTTACTGAGTTATTGTGCAGGGAAAATAATGCCAGGTCTCATTTAAGGTCTCGATTTTATGTTCGGAGAAATAGGGTTATTGAAACATTCATTTTAATGTGGCGCAATTACTTTAACTAAAAGAAAAAGAAACCTTTCGGCGATAGAAACGAGTAGAAAGTGGGGATTTTCTCATCAATCTAAATAATTATTACTCTCACAAAAAATGTCCTTTGCACCGAAATCAATTTTTTGGCAGTCTGATACATCAGATTGTACTAGTACTGTAAATGCCTTAAAACTCATCACTGATCGGACAGATTATTCGACTATTTACTTCGATCGAGACAAAAAATTCGATCTCTTTTCATTCCCGTTTCCTTAAAATTTTTCTTGTTGGAAGTGGAACGAATTAACGTGGACGTGACGGAAAACATACAAACATTGAAACTCCGAAAACGGATTTTTTCCGGATATCATGTCTTGACAATCTGTCAAAACGTTAAAATCGCAGATGTGGAAATTCAGATCTCTCGAGTATAAAAAAAAAAAAAACTGAGCTTGAAGCTACATTGTGACGGAAATCGCCTTCATGCAAAAATCGTTTGACCCATTCTTTCGGATTTCGGCGCCGGGACGTCGATAAAAAAAGTAAGAATTTTTCGTACAAATCAAAATAAAATTTCGACCAACCTGTTCGTAATTGCGAACGAAATCGCGAAGCTCTTTGTCCTTGTCTTCCAGTGTGGCGTAGAGTTGCTTCATCTGGTTCAGGAGCTCAAATTTCTCCGCCTTCAGCCGCTTCCGGTCCGATCTCAGCGCTGCGAAAAATCACAAAAGGTGCAAAAATTCTCAATTAAAGGATAAAATAGCAAACTATGATCCGCCAGGAATTTCTCAAAGCGTCAAGTCTTGCGTGGTTTTCACATTATGCCGTCATCCCTTGAAAGATCACAATTTCACGCAAGAATACAAATAAATTCTCGTAGTGTGATATCAAGTCAGATTCGGCCCCGAAAAAAACTTGTTAAAATCCAGCTATCGAACTCAAGTAATCATTCTATCCATTACAAGGCTATTTGCAGGAAAAAACCCGCAAAATAAACAGTACTGTACCTGGAGAATTTCCAAATTTGTACTTAATGCCAAGACTATAACATTCAAACGCTCCAAACTGATTATGCCAAACAAAACTTCAGCATCCTTGTAATCGGGAAAAATAGAACAAACGAAAGAAACATCAGTACAGTAAATATTTCTTATCGAGACAACTTTTTTTCTATTACAACGGAGATTTACGGCGCTGTTTCGAAATATGTTTTCAGTAAATGAGTTGCGCTTTCATCTAGGTCAAAGTAGGGGAACTGTTTTCTACATATTGTTTTCATGGAAGCTTTACAAAAATATCAAATCAAAAGGATATCATCAGTGGAAACCAGGACTCGATAGAAGTGGATTTACGAACCCGAGCACTCGTCGCACCTGAATAGCGAGGCATGGGGAGCGGCTCAAAATTCGGCAAAAGCATTTTTGATTCACCAATCAATAACATGAATATGCAGTAAAAGGAGAAAATAAATCAGCAGCTAAAAGAACACCGGAAATTTCCCCAACGTTTCCAAACGGAGTCAGCTTTGAATTGGCGAAAGGTCGTGAGTCTAGGCCCAGAACGAATAATCCAATTGAAAAAAGCGCACGGCTCGCAAGTAAGTCTGCAAGTCCTACTTATTCGCCGAGAATAATTCCTTCAGTTCAATAAATAAAACAAATGTGGAAAGAGACGGGATCAGAATAAAAAGAAATAAAGAACAACCCAACAGGACTCAGAAAGGACTTGAAAAAAATAAAAATCCCCGGGTCTCGCGCGAAAATCGTATTTCGTGCTGATTAAAGATTTGGCACACCTAGAAGTTTTCGTAATCCCTCTTACCCGACCGAAAGTAAAAATATCCACTCGGTCACGAAAAAAGAACGCTATTCCTAGAAAAGCCCGCCTATCCAACGCTGATACGAGGGGTTCTTCAGAAATTTGGCGAGTTTCCGTATTCACTCAAGTACCACACACACCTGGTTTTCAGGTCCTAAAATTCGGAAAAAATCCCCGAGTTTGACGCGCACCCCATGTTTAAAAACAAAAAGGGGTACATTTCGAAAATAACATGCAATAAAATCCAAATTTTGACTGGAATTGGACCTAATTTGAAATAATTTTCCATTGTTTTCATTGAAAATAATTTCTTTATCGAAATTTGTCAAGAATCTTCAATAATGATCAAGTATTATGAGCAGTGGAAATTGTTGAAATTTTTGAAAAATTGTACAGTATATTTGCTTTTGACGAGCGCCACTTTTTTCTCCTACTTGTTTTTTTATTAAAAGGTGTGCATACGTGGTATTCGAGTGAATACAGGTATGTACCTTTATTCTTCAAATTGGTTTGTGAGTACTCAAGTTTCTGAGTCAGAATCCTTCGAGACAATGCAATATTAAAAGGAAAATATTCAAAGCAAGTCTCTCAGTTCATCTGTTGCGGATTTTCTCCAATTGCAGCCCCGACTCAGGTAACTTATTCCCACTCACCAATAAAGATTTTTGACGATCTTTAGATCCAGCATAATTCTTTCATTTGCCATAATGAAAATATTTCTGAATTGGAAAATGGTCGCCAAATCCAAGACCATGTAATCATTCGAAATATTGCGCAGCTCTCGAGATACCCAAAAATCTATTACATGCAAATCTTATTCTTTCCCAGCGTTGCACTTTCAAAACCTTTGTCTAATTTCCATTTCAAACTGGATGAGATCTTTCGTCACGCCATTATTTGACATTCAGGTCGGATGACGAGGAAATATGTTACCTCTGTAAAAATCACAAGTACTGTATGTCCCTACCACCCGAAAAGGGAAGCCCACGACTACTAATGTATAGACAGTATTGTGAATTAACCCTCGTACTCAAAAGTTTCTGTTGAATTATTTTTTGCATGTGTCTCCTCTGTTTTCCATTCCAAGGGTCTCTTAGGTGGCATCAGAATTGGGCGTCTTATCTCGAATGAACCTCTGTTCTATGTTTTCCGTTACCTGCGATTACGAGTTCAATGATGTGCGCCGGGGGAAGTTCACGCCACGGAATCGTGATCTCTTTCGTCACGCGAATAAGGACCTGTTACTTCCAGCAGCACCGCACATAAATTTATCCAAGGAATTACGAAAGATGAAATATAAGAAACCACTGACATATTAAAAATAAAATCCAAAATCGGGGTTTCAGACACCTTGAGAAAAAAAGAATAAAAAAAAAACTACGAGGCCAACGAGAGATTATTTCGCTAGAAAATCGATTTTTTCTTTGACGAATTCCTTATCTTAAAAAATGTTTAGTTTGATGCTACCATAAATAACTTGAAAATGAGTTCAAATTGTTCAAGTTATTTTCGAGCAAATTTCGGTGCTCTCAAAACTTGAGTGCAGTACTTCGGAGGAAATGTGCATCGGATCCGAGCTGAGAACTCCACAAATAGGAATTCAAAAATACCGAAATATAGCTCGAAATATTCTGAAAAAGAATGCCCATTTTACTCGCTTTTACGATTCCAAAATATGTATCTCATGCTAAACAGAATTCGCGAACGACGCCATTGCTCTAAATCCGTTCTCTGGAATCGAAAAAACAATCATCGGGTGTTTCAAAATATCTGCAGAGCAATTTTTCCACATTCAAAGCAGATACTGAATAGACGCCAGTTGATACATTTTTCGGTGGGAATAAATATCAAAAAGACGCATGAACCAAAATTGCAGCATCTCAAGTTGAACCAGAAACTTAAGAACAACGAAAAATTGAACAAAATTACCTAATACCTTTTTGTCATTAAATAAATACTGTATTTGCGTATACACATGCAGTAAATATAAACTTCTGCTGGTGTTTGCTCGAGTTCCAGGCAAATTTCCCGGCCACAACAGGACGCTGCATTCGCGAAAAAAAGGACCAAATTTCAATGAATATAGGCCACGTCCGTAAATAGGCTCATTCTGATACAGTGAACTGTTTCAGTTGGAAGAAATTTACGGAGGCTCTTATGATTCTGCGTTTGAACTTTGAATACCAGCAATTCAGGTCAAAATCTTCTCCAAGCAAGAAAATCGGCTAATAAAACTACGGTACATTCAATTGTAGACCGCGCCATTAAAAATATAGTGTGGTAATTGTGGAAGATTTCCACTCGAACTATGAAATTTAAATGCCATAACGGAGTCTGGCGTATACGATAGCGCATTTATGAAGCTAATTAGCTTTATAATTTGACGAAGGAAAGGTGCGCGTGGTACTCGAGTAAATAAATGCGGGTGCTGGGGGGGGGGGGGCAGGGGGTATTAATCTTTTAATGATTCAAGTTAAAGACAAGCAATAGCTGGTGAATTTACGGAAAATGCTCACCAGTGAGGGCTTCTTTGGCAGCGATGAGCTCCGAGTCCATGCGTTGCATGCGCGCAATGTGCTGCGCCGAGCCGCCCATGAGCTCGGCGGCCTGTCGGTCCAGCGCCTCCTTGCCGCGACGCTTGGATTCCTCCAGGTCCCGCTGCAGAGCACGGACCTGCACTATCAGGCGCTCGTTCTCCTGGCGCAAGGAAAGGATCTCCTCCTGGCTGTAGGTGTCACGACCACACCCTGCAAACGAACGCAGAGAGAAAAAAAAAAGAGACAAGGACACATTAGTGAGGGATTCGTACATGTACATCCGAGTTCAGTCTGTGAATCGCCCGGCGTGACTGACGCGCGAGTTTTATTTTTTTACTTTTCAATGTTGTACAGTACAATGCCTTACTTACGCGGTTCTAGGCCAAAGACTGAATTCGGGCCGCTATTCGAGGAAGAAGAAAAAAATGTACACGCCGCAGAAAAGTACGAATAGACAAAAACAAAAATTAGGCGAATGCCCGCATTTAAAAACTGTCTTTCGTAAGCATCTCGTGTTTCAACTTCCAATAGAGCAAGGAATACATTAACTTTTTGAAAAGGAAAATCATCCAATACTGAAAAAAAGCACGGAGAAAATGATGTCAGGTTGTTTTCTAAAGGAAGAAATCGTTTTCAGGACCATATCTCTCGTCATTTTTCCATCTACCCTGTTTTTTTTTCCACTATTCATGAATAGGCCAAACCTCACTCCGGCCTATTATCGATTACTGTATTTGGTTCACAGTCTGCGAAGTTCTGAAGCTGCATTTGGGAGAAAATTGCAGCATATACTTGGGTAATAATGCATTTTAACGGGATTTCTCAGAAAATTTTCACGTTTAAATAAAAGTAATTTCAAAATAATGAAGCATATCAACGGGGTGTTTCGACTTTCGGACAGGAAAGGAATCCAAGGAGACATCAATGGGGTATGCCTGGTTTAGCGAATGAACGCAGAGGAAAAACAAAAGAACTGGGAAACTTAGCCCCTAAATTTCCGTCTGGAAAAATATTTCCACGTCAATTCCATAATAACATGAACGAACACTGCGTTGAACAGCGAACAGAAAAACCCCAATTTTAATCTGAGAGCGTCATAAAAAATCTCAGACATAAAATTCGTCCGAGACCTCATGAATAATTTCAAGAAACTCTTCACGAGGCTCTCGCATCGCATCAACGAGAATCATTCGACAGGTCTTTCATCCGCTGAGGCCTTTCAGTCGCTCAGGGCAAGGAAATGAATGGACAAACTCGCCCAAAGGTCTGTAATAACGCGAAAAAAGTGCCCTCAATTCGGAGATGGAGGAAAAAAAAAAAACAAGAAGCACTTGAAATGATTCGCGCTGCGAGGCGGCAAAACCGTCAGGCGTGCGACGATCGCGTGACGAGGAGAAAGAAGCATCATCGGCGGTCGTGAACCTCCAACACAGAGGGCCTAACGGTGTCGTCACGATCATACACGACTACCATCTCGTAGTCTCTCGAGTTGCGAGTCAAAAAAGAAAAGAGTCGGTATAGCCGTGTTGAGTATTTCTCTCTTAAAAAACAAAGTATGTTTTTTTTATTATTATTCAAACCGGGTGAAACGGGCGTATTCGCACCGAGCATAGGCTAACAAGCAGCCGCGAATCTTGACGCGTTCCGCAGGAAACACAGCTTTCTTCCGCCCAAGTCAACAACGTGTGGTTCCCCAACAAAAAGACCGACCCAGTCCCCCCAAAAGCCCCACGAATTGTCGAGGGAAAAAATGCGGCCGAATTTGCATGTTTAAATCTATTTAGAGATTAACGTTTTCAGGCATCTATGCAAATACAAGTGGACTCTCTAAAACGGATCCGAGGGACTAGTTTTACAGAGGATTTCGTTCTATAGAACCCCTCGAACAAGGGAAGAGAACCCTATGGATGGGACAAAAAAAAATTTTATACAGAGAAAATCGTTGTAGGGAGACTACTGACTACACCTCTACTATTCGAAGAGCAAAAAACATTTAGTCACAAGAAGATTAATGATTCGTACGTATTGAAATGACTCATTCGAACCAATAACTCAAATTTTATTGCATCCATCTGAGCAAGATATCCATTTATATAGCAATAAAATTATTTGCAGCAGCAGATAAGTTAGTGAAGAGTATTACCCGAAAAAAGAGCTTACGTTGAAACTCAAGCGAACAAAATTTTACGATCCGGTCATCAAAATTTAATGTCAGGCAGTATATATTTAATAGAAATAGGATAACGTTTCAGGTAACAACTTTTGCGCTTTTTAAACCTAGGAAGAGTTAAAATGTGTTGATAAAACAATTTTTCCACCAGATTAATTTGTTTTTAAATGCGTAGGGTAGGAACTGTATACCGATGCATTTCAAATCTTGAAATCGAACGTCATTAAAAATTACTTCATGAGCTCTCATTTATAATGTATTTAATGTTATATCATTTACCTTGAACTGGTAAAGAAAAGAACAGTTTCGAATTTAGTTCATTTTTTGTTTTCTCGAAACGTAAAAAAGCATTCAATCAGGTAACTTACTGCCACAATTTTATTGAATTGTGTTCGAGATACTGTAAAAGAAAAAAATATTTGCCGTATCTGGAACTACTGTACCTCGGGTCTTCAAACACACACTATCTTGAAAACTTGGCGAATTTTCACTAATCTGAACTGCAGTAGAATCATTTTACAATTTTAAAAAATGCCAACGGTATACTCGATATCGACTCTAGAAACAGAATTTAAAGAGAAGGGCTTCCCGAGATTCATTCGGACGACCTAATTAGCGCTGGTCCTCCAGTTATTATTTTTCTATCTCACTGAAACAAATTCTACATAAATCGTCAATGCAGAAAGACCTCCCATGAGATTCGATTTGTGCTATATGCCGTCTTTTTTTATGACCCGCGGTCAATTAGACGCGAGAGGCGAGGCCACACGTGAAATCCCCGCCGGCGCAAAACCGTGAATTACGTATCCCAGTTCCCAGGGTGTCGACAGACCGCGAAAAATCGCGCTGCTCACACGCTTGAACCTGGCTTGACCTCGCCGCAAAGGAAAAAATATATATATGTACATGAAAACCAGCATATGAAAATAAAATATTATTCACCGTAAAGAAAAACTGGACCGTATTTGTCGTGCATGCTCAACAAGGAGAACGAATGTGTAAGAACACGCTTCAGAACTTTCATTCTACTTTCTGTCCAAATGTGAAGATGCTTCGGGTGTTGGTTGATGATTTATGACAATCCCGCAATTATTTTGTAGGAATCACGAAGATTAAGATGGAGGTAATATTTACAAAATATTAATTCTCATTTTCTCGTAAAATTATGCTTGCCCCGGGAGAAATGTAGAGCGACTCCATGAGTGTAAAATAAGTCTTACGCGTGGAAAATGGAGCGTTTTATGAATTTCGTGGAACTTTAAGTTCCAAAGAATACTGTAAAAGTGCAAAGAAATTAAGTTAATTGAAAAAATTCTCAGCTACAGTTTCGCAAGTCTCACTAAATTATCAAATGAAAATAAGTGTTGATAAGCTTTTCTGTGAGATGATAATTTTCAAAGGCACCCGGAAGGTTAAAAAATCGAAGAGTCCTCAGACAATGACCTAATTACAGCAGTTCTTTGTGTTTTCCTCTTTAATTTAGAAGATTCTGAAAAAATAAACTTTGAATCAAAGAAATAACAGAACTTTGAAACAACCCCCAGTATTTTCTTTTTCTCTCCCTCTCCCTGTTCACCTCGCTTTTCATTCATCGTTAAAAGACACGTTTCCCGCTTTCTCGAGAGGTGTGGATTTATGAATGACGTCGAACCTGAAGAAAAATAAACCGAGAACTCTCGAACGTGTATTTTGAAAAAAAAAAAAGAAGATCCGCATCACGGAAATACTGTTCTACGTCCGTCGGAGGAAAAATGTGACTGCACAAACGTTGCATAATTTCACGTCGCGGAAATAACATCACTATTTCTTCGCAGCCAGTTCTTAATTTCCATACACAAACAGGAGCCGAAAAAGAAAAACACACATAAAGAAACTCGTAGGCATTCGGTCTTGGAGATAATTTCTCCGCCGTCATTCTCGGCAGGTATTTTAAAACGTTTCGCTGACGTATTTAAGGCAGGGCCATTGTCAAGAATTTCACGGTTTGCCCACACCTCGGAACATTCTACTGTATATTGCATTTTTCCGCAGACAAATTACGGGGTTCCGATGATCTTTACTACAGGCTTCAGTTCTTAATCACATCAACCTGTTATCACATTCAATTACTTCTTGATAAATGCCCCCATAAAATGTGGGGTACAATTTACAGCAAACAATTTATACCATACAATTTGCAGCAATTTATGACCGCTAGAAACACCCGTACATTTGGATTAAAAAAGTTTTACTTTATGGACGATGGTTTCAGACGGCGAAAAAATTTAAAGTCGAATTTATTTCCTTGGATTATTTTCTTATGCAGGACAAAGATTACTTTCCAACTGAAAAAAGTTAGGATTAGGTGCACATTTTTTAATTTTTTTGCAAGATTCCCTCGGTTGGCATTTTCAAAACAGAAGCTGAACTTATTAATAAATAACTAGTGAATGATATTTTTTTTTGTCAGCGAAGGGAACTTTTTCGGGTGATGAAGTTCTTCTGGCTCATAAATGCATGTTTATGAGTCAAATGTCTCAAACCAACTTCTTAATGCATTTTAGTACGATTTTGTTTTCGCATTGCAACCCGGGTTTTGCTTAGAATTTTAGGGGTTGATAGTTTAGATCTTTAGAACAACCTTCACGTGCAGCACCACAGATACTGTACAACCATTGCCAAGATCGAGAATATTTTCTCGCTCTCGTTTAAACACAATTTTTCACGTTTCGGACAAGAAAATAATGTTTTCAAAGTACACATTTTCAAAACATCTCGTATCCAATGCCCAAAATGGTCGGAAAACTTGAAAAACCTACTAGTTTGAGGGGTTTCCAGTACTTAGGTGACATTTTCACTTTCTAGAGTCGCAGAGAAATAATCGAATATTGGGCTGAAAAATTCTGCCAATATATATCATCAGCCCATTCAGCGAAACCCGAAGCACATGACTGACAACACAAAAGAATAAAGGTTTTCATTTCAGCGAACACTTAGCGTTTCGTTCCGAAGAAATTTCTCTAGTATGAATTTCCCAGACAATTTTAACAGCCTTATTTTTTATTCAGCAGAAATTGACGGCTAACCGTTTCCTCGGTTGAGATTTTCGTTGCTGTTGCTGCCTTTCACGAATAAATCAGTACTTGGCAAACGCCAACTCCATGCAGTGATTCCTTTCGGTCCCAAGTTTTTGCCGAAACCTCGGCTACAGACATTTTAGCCCCGATTTGAACGAGAAAAAGCTGCAGAAAGTAGGCGGAGGGTCATTCGTGCGCGGTTCAAAAAGCGCGAAAAATTCCAACATTTATGACCGGGGGCAGACTTTCACGGCGAAAGATTTCCCGTTGTGGAGCGCATACAATCAGCGTACTCCTTCAAGCTAGTATGAAGTGGACCGTCTTCATTTTCCGTAGCGTGTTCGGGGAGTAGGTAATTAAATCCTTCCCGCAACACCAGTGCTTTCTATGCCAATGCTTTTTTTTTTTTTGCCCCCTTCTCATAGCAGCGCAGGCGCTATATCACGGGTGAGAGCTGCAACGGAGAAGGCTAACAAACGAGGCGTCTCATGGATTCAAAATACCAAAGGGCTCTGGGTTTCTTAAAAAAAAAAAAAAAAAAAAATTCCTCCCATTTGTATTCTCTCTACTCAGTTTTTTCTTTTCTTTTTCTTTTAGGGCTATAAATCCGATGCCTCGGCTTAGAAGGATATACGACAGAGCAACGCTGCGTACTTGGAGTCAGTGAAAAGCCAACAGTTATCCCGTCGAGGAGCAGCTTTAAATCTTCTTAACCTACATGCCTTCGTGGTCTTAAATAACTCGGGTCCGAAACCTCGTGTATAGGCCTGGATTCCTCGGGAAATTTCAGCCGAAATAACAAAGATCTCTATCAGAATACGACAGTAACGTGACCATGATGTTAAATTCATTGCCTTAATTCACTTGTGCGTCAGAAAAATTGAACACTGCTGCAAAACCGGCGCACATTTAAATCGTCGGTCAAAGCCATCGTAAAACAAATATTACTTTCTACCGTATCAATTTATAATATTCTACAGAACATGAAAACGTAGTAACAATGCTCTGTAAAACTTTCAAGTGACAAAAAGAAGAATCATGAGAAAATGCCGTCGAGGTGAATTCCTAAAAGCTGCAGTTTTTTATTTCTTTTGGGCAGGATCTCCACTTAGAATCTCCTAAATGATTTTTCCTTTAAACAAACATAATGCTGACTCTCCGGAAAATTCTTGTAAAACGAGAGAAAAAAACGATTGCAAGACTCTCAGACGATTCTTTGCACGCAACAGTAACTTTTTCAACTTGAGAAACAATCAGGCATGGTTCAGATAATATCGCAGCGCTTCAAATTGCAACACTTCGTCAACACGTTTCATCCGAACACGTTCACGAACATTAAAATCTTACTTTCTCTTCTAAAAATTTACGAAACAAGAAAAACCTCCAGATTCCGCGCCGAATTATAATTTTTTGCCTACAGAAATAATGCCATTATTCGATGATACAGATTCGGTACAATACAATCAATTCCGCAGAACGTGGCATCCATGATGCAACGCGCTCCACGACAAGTCGTGAATCAAGTACCGAAAGATTACGTTTCCTGACCGGAAACTTCCGCATCCTCGACAGCAGTATTCCGTCATCATAACGAAATCATTCAGTAGTAATAATCCATAGAAAAGCACAAAGAAGCACGTCATGATGCTCAAATAAGAGTCTCGTGACACGTGACTCTCTAGGAATACGACGTGGCTGTTAAAAAACCCGAAGCGCGGTAAACGGCTCGTTAAGATTCCTCGGATAGAAATCTTGACTAATTCTGCCTTGTCCTTCTTCTTCTCTACCCTCTCTATTGACATAGTTTTGCTTGTCCTAGACCTTGTTCTCGGTATGTAATTTTTCTAATCCTCTATAGCTAGTAAGTTGCCGCTTACGGTAGATGAGAGACTTGATGCGGGCGACACGACACACGTCGGCTGACAACTTCGTCAGCTACAGTATTTTATTCCAGAGAGAGAGAAATAAAATAAAACTTACGAATTGTCAGGTCCCAGGCATACTAGCCACAGCGAAAACGTCGAATGATTCAAAATTCCTACCAGTGCCGAAACAGAAAAGTTCTTTGAGGGCCCGAAATTTTGTGTCAAAAGCCCTTAAACCACTGCGTTAAAAAGGCAAAACTCCTCCTTAATTTTCTTGGAAACTTTCTTTTTTTTCAAATACAGCGCTGAATTGGACAGATTTTTGTCCGTAATTTGACAGTCCAGGACAACCTTCGCTCTCAGCATCAATAATACAAAAATATCTAGATGATATAATTTTTTGTAGGACTACGGCCGTCCGATCTCGGAAATTTTAAAATTTGCTCTCAAGGTAAATTCAAGATTTTTAAAATTATTTTGTAGCATTTGGAAACTTGCTAATCCATTAAACACAGATATGAAATTTCACCTCCATGCGAATACGATTTCTGTACTTGCCATTCAACCTTATCTTTTCTCTCCAGTCCTTCCTCGATGAGATCAATAATAAATTTGGTCAGGAAATGAGCAAATATTGCTAAATAAATATTTTTGTCACTCTCACTGCAAACGGGTCTTCGGCAAAACATTTGAAAAAAAATTACTAACCAAATTTCGTATATTCCATACAATCCACGGGTAAATCGAGAAAATTTTCCGGGTTGAGAAGAACGCACAGAAATGAATCGGCCTTCCAGTCTGGAGGAGATTTGAGCTCATTAAAGATATACTGTACTAGAAGACTTGATCAAAGTCGGGCATTTTGTTCGAAATAACACGCTTCTATGATCCGCTTCGAGTCGGTCGTCTACCCAGGCAAACAAGATGAAGCAATTAGCCCGCACTCCGCGAGACGAGAACTCAACTATAAAGCATCATACGCGACAAGGATCTCCGCCCCGGTGTTCGTTAAAATACATTTTTCTAAGGAAGAAACCCCGCGTTTGATCAACAACAAAATTCAAATATAAGAATAAGAATACAGTGGACACATACTAGTCTAAAAGAAGCCCGCCAAGTGTTCGCCCCCGCGGAACAATTACACAACAGGGCGGCAGCAGCAGCAGCAGGAGACGCACCATTACCAGGCCACATCAGTAAGAAGAGGACCGAACAACCCAGCTCTTTTATGTCCTAGTGCTTTTTGCTTTGTTTTTTTTTCTCTCCTTCTTTTCACGAGATAGCCGGACGACGCCCCACTTATCGTCATCTCGGTCAGGGTTTTTGTTCCTATCTTGAGGCGAAAATTCGCAGCCATTCACCAGCGAATTCGTGAAAGGGGGCTCGGGAGTATTCGCCGGTCCGCAATAAGGTAATATACGGGTTCCATTCGGGGGTTCGCACCCATGCAGCAGGAGATTTCCTCTCGAATTAAGTAATTAATCTCTCGTCTTTCTCTCTTATCGTTCAACTAACCGCAATAACGGGAATATCAAGTCTAAGAAGAGCCTCCGTTTTTCAGCCCCGCACGAAAAAAAAACATATTGCGCTTGCGAATTTGAGAAACCACCACATTTTTCAAAGTGACAAAAATTCCGAAGTTTAAAGATTGAAATACCCTCTTTAACTATACTGTACACAAATTAAAATTAGCAGCAATACTACGATTGCCCTGCAAATTTGCTCAGAACAAAACAAAAATAAGTTGCCAAGTGCATGCGTGCCCATATTTAGTCTTCCAAACTCTTCAGTCAAAACCATGAGTCGAACTAATGATCGGATTTAAATGAATATATTGTATGTTAATCAGAATGATGTAGAAATATATTTTTATTTGAAGGTGTTCAAAAAAGTAGCCATTCCGTTCAACAGCATTTCAATTTCTGATACAGAACGCTAATTATTCCAAACCGATTCCGGATTATTTTATTTCAACGTTGACAGCAATACAGTAACATGATCATCACACAACTTGTAAAATTTGCAATTAGAAACATGAGTTCCGAGCAACGAAAATTATTCTAACACACACACACACGGGTATTTCGATATTTTACGCGTTAATGATTCATCAATTGAATGGGTGAAATATTCGTAGACCACACTACGAAGAATATGTTGAATTATATCGCATTCGGTTTACCGCAATATTGGAAGACATATTTTGACTAGCGTGTGACTTCAATAACCAATACGATACTCGGTGAGAACGTCCCGTGATACTAACTAAAATTTTATCCTCGAACTTTCAGTTTTGAGTTCAAATCGTGTTTTTTTTATTATCTTCAGAGGTTGAAAAATGTTCGATGAGTGATTGAGAGTCGAGAATCATCCGAAGGATAGCCATTTTCTAGAGAGACCATAAAATTGAGTGGCATCTCCTATTCGAATCCGAAAATCCATCGATTCTCACACGCATCCTGATTTTTTATCCGCCAAAATCGAAGTGCGTCTCATAACTCACGCAGAAAACGGTGATCCACGCGGGACTACGACATCCAATTTTCCAGCAAGCAGAAAATTGATTTAGCGCCCAATACGCATACGGTATACATATATATTTTTTGTTTGTAAATCAATCATTGCAGCCGAAAGCAACCGTTAGCGAGATTACTTCTGAGAACGGCTGCATTTCCAGATTCAAGAAAAACGCTGGCCCTTCCGGCTTCTCGTAAACTGAAGTACTCACTGCCCGAAGAGTAATCTTTCCCGACTGATTTCGAGGCGCCTTGGTGGAACTCAGGGGCGTCCCTGAATCCGGAGTCGGGCTCATCAAAGTCCCTGCTGTTCCTAGGACTGCTCCTCGGCGTGCTTCTCGGACTGTTGGAATTACTCCACCGATTCTGCCCGACTCGCTTGGGTCTCATCATCCGCTCTCGTTTCACCAGTGTTACCACAATGGTATACACCTCCACGGAACGTGGTCCTGCCCCTGCTGGATTCGCTTGGTGCCTCGGCGTCGGGGTTCGGCGACGAAACGTTAAGTGATGTTGCGCACTCACCACGTCAAAATCCCCGATCTCAGTTTCCACCAAAGTTGGCGCACTTTCCGGTCGCTTCTCTGGCTCAGTTTCCACGCATTGTTGGAGTTCGAAGCGTTTCGGCACTCGTTTCACGCCTCTGCCAAGGCTTCTCGTGTGCAACTTGTCTCGTTTGAACTGGGAAGGAGCAACTGTTGGTGGTGGAGCACAGGCTGCTCCGGAAGGTTGACGGCGTTGTTCTGCTGCTGCTGCTGCTGCTGGTTGCTGTAGTTCGGATGAACAACGTTGGTAATGCCCCCAGGGCTCCTGCTGATGACACCCTACTTTCACTGGAAAGTATTCCCCGTCTTCAAAACCCGAGTCTCTGGCTCTGGGCATGCAGTAAATGTTCTTGACCACATTTCGTCGCTCGCGAGGCGGTTCGTGGTCAAATGACCGCGGGTACGCAAACTGCGGCGGGTGATTGGCGTAGATCCGATGGTAATACGGCTTCATTTCTATGTCTTCTTCTTCTTCTTCGTCGGCGTCGTCGTTTCCATAGACTTCGTCATTAAAGTCTTGTTCAGTTGACGAAGTGGTGTCGTCGAAGAAGTCGAAACCTTCGCCCGAGTCCGAGCTGCTGCTGGAAGCGTCCAAGTCGAACGGGAAACTGTCTTCGTCTTCGTCGAATTCTTCCTCGTCGTCTTCTGATCCAGGCGAGGACAAGATTGCAGCGGCTGGTGCTGATTTCAGCTGCTGTTCCTGATGATGATGATGATGATGAGGGTCCTGGAAATTCGTCAGCACACCGTCATGGACGACAGCTGCTCGGTTGGCATTCTTGCCACGACTTTCTTCCCGCGGTTTCACAACCAACACTGACTGCTTGTCACTCACAAGCACTCCCGAGTTCCGCGTCTCGGGAGTCAGAGGCGCGACGTTGTACGAACCGCGTTTCGCGACACGCAAAGACCGCTTGCTGCGACGCCAGAAACTCTCGTGGTGGTCTCCCGTGAGACCAGGACCAGACGCAGCCGAAGGTACCACCGGGGATGCGGGACACTCGGTGGCCAGAAGCGGAGGCTCTGTTTTGGTACTGCGAGCGGACGAGTAGGACCACTTGGACCGCGTCGGCACAGGCGGTTCTTCGTCGGGCAAAAGCCGGCGAACTTTCACGATTTTTGCTGCTGCCTCGTCACCGTCGGCCGTCGGAGAGCGTTCAATGATCCAGAGGTTGCTGCCGACGCCACCACCGACACCACTATTACTACCGTCCTTTTTCGCCACAGCGTTGCGACTCGTCGCTTCCGGGGGTCGGCCGACGGGCCAGGAGATGTTCTTGCGATCGATACCCCGCTGGAGCGGGGTCGCCGAAGCCACCTTATTCCCCATGGCTCGTGCTCATGCGAGCAGGAGTCGACACACCCACCCACCCCCCGACACACGAGTCCCTCTCTCCGTCAGCCCCGTCGAAGTGTGACGAGGGGGCGGACAAAGAGGGGGGAGAGAGAGAGGAGGGATTTGCTATAACGCGTCCCTCGCACGTGTTTTTTCTTTCTCTATCTTTCCCTCTCTCTCTTTGTGTTGCCTAGAAAGCACCGGGTGTAGAAGAAGATGCACACGTTTTGATATCAGTGAGTGCAAAAAAATCGGCGCGGCGCATGCCCCGATGGATGGATATATATACGGACGCGAGTTTGGCAGCGCGGAAAAGAAATCCGGATTCGCACCAGGAAGTCAATGAATTTCCACATCACTTCATAGTCGTCACTTGAAAATAATTGGGCAATACCACACACTTTTTTTCGCGACTATTTCGCAACGTTTTTTGATAGCAATCTCAAGATATAGATATTGCAGGTTGATGCAACTTTGCAGAGCTCAGCGATTCGGTTCAGCTCAGTCTTATCCTGTGCGACGAAAGCAGCAGATTTCGATCACAAACATTTCCGGAGTATTTGTTTTTTCTTCTACCAGATATTTTTGAAAAGATTTTCGACTGCATCGCCGAATAAGCCTTATCCTTATTGTCAGGCAAGTATAAAATACAGTAAAACCCTTCATCTGAAACTGTTCTCGGATAAACTCCCCTGCAGTAGATGGCGCAAAAATACACATATCAAATCGGAGGAAATACGGCTGCTAAATCAAGTTCTTTTCCTCCCAACTCGAATTCTTCCTGACCTATCCCCTAGAGATCCAACAACCAATATTTCAAGCCTTAAAAAATAAAATAAAAATTTAAGAACGCATTAGGATCTTAATTCCTGATCTCGCTCTTTTCATTTGAAAATGGATTACGAACACCAATCCTTTTTAAATGTATCGCAACTTTCGAACACGGTCAGCTTCGTTTCAAAGTATATAAATAAACAGTTTTTATTTGTGTATTTTGCCCTCGGCCTCAGCACATGTTGCATGAGCCAAGTATAGTAGACTATATAGCAGCAAAAATATGTAAAACTGCTATCCCATAACACCAAAATACGTGAGACCTAAAAAAAAGTATCCTCACTTGAACAAAATGAAAAATTTGTCTCGTTCAAAGTGAACGAGTAACACTATAGAATTCTCCCAATAGAAGGTAAATTCTTCTAATTTCGAATTTCCGTTAGAGAAAAAAAAACCTGATTTTTTAAAGATTTGTATGCAACCAAGCGGTGCTCTCCTGCATCAATAAAAACTAGAGAAGTTGAAAAAATTGACATCTGCAGAAGAAATTCTGTAAAAATTGTTCGCTGTACTCTCGATTTTGCAAGAGTCCCGATTTGGGTACACGTAAATGACAAAAACAGCCCTGGTTCAATTTGAACGTGATTAATAAAAAAAAAGTAATCTTTTCTGGGTTCTTGGGTGAGGGATCCGGGCAATAGCACAGACGTGTCCTAAATTCGTTAATAAATTGCTGGAATAATTGTTTTTTAATTCAACCACGTTTTTCAGAAATAAAATAACATAGCTTCTCGAGCCCCCAGGGTTGCCAGCGTAGCGGCATCGGGAATAACAGTATCGGCTTGATGAATTTTGGTAAAAGTCGGTGGGACCCTTGCTTAAAAAGCACCCCAGTTTCCTATTGACCCCCCCCCCCCCCCAATACACATGTGGGGCTTTCTAGAATGGCATTTATTCTATAGAAGGGAGGGGGTTTGGGGGAACGGAATAAAGAGAAAAGGAGCATTTTTGCTTCTCTATTCTTCCCCCAGAATTCTACCCCCTCCCAACATCACAAGAGTGGATTTCCGCGCAAAAAACCACGGATTTTCCCGCGAATTTAGTCCCATTTTTTCCCCTTCCCCTTTTCTAGTTTTATAGAAATTGCAAGCACTACCAATCATTGTTACTGACTGGGATCAGAGTTTTTACGTCTCTGTCCCAAACGCGGACAACCAGCTGTGGCCTCTCGTACACATGAGGGGTTCAGGAGCTATAAATAGGTCAACACGCGTGTCTGGAAATCGTACTACTGTATTACCTCCCGGCAATAAATTTCCAAAGCCGTTGTTATCGTCTTCCAGTTAAGTTTTAGACAGTTGAATTGATGCTGTCGGCTCCCCGCCGAGGCTATTGAACTCTTCACTCGACACCCGCCAACAATAAAGCCAGTCTCTTCACAGAAGGGGGGTGGTGGAGGGATGCAATTTACAGCAATTAAAAGGGCCCAAAGAAAACACTGAAACAATTCACACTTCGAAAAGAGGAGATGCAGTATTTTTTTTTTCAGCCAATGACACCTAAATTACAATTAAGTTCCAAGAATAATCGTGATCATCCGGGATTTAATTAACCTTGTCAAGCAAAGAAGGGAAAGCGACTCAAGTAATTCTGATTTCATTTGCTTAATTCTACGTCTCGCATCGACTTACTTTTAAAGCCAAACCTCTCTAAGTCGAATTCAAGGTATCAGCAAAAATATTCGAGTTACCGTAAAGCGGTTTCGAGGCTGGAAAACGAGCATTTTTTGTTGGAGAAACATAGATGAATTTCCGGAAATTCTAAATGGTGATATTCTAGGCCTCGAATTTATTTTCAAATGAGTTGACAAGATGCTGAACTTGGAGGCAAGGGTTCATTTGCACAAGTGGTCCTTCACTTCCTTTCAAAACACATCAAGGTAGTTTTGTATTGCCTTTCTCTTTCCTGAGTCAATAAAATAATAGCCAAAAGGCCTCAGAAAATTTGAGTTATGGAGGCTTCAGAGGAAACACTTCCGAGGTATAGAGGTTTTTAATGCATTGTTTTGAAGGGGATTCAGAGGGGGGCTTGAAAAAAATTCGACATAGGGAGGTTCGAGTTTATCCAGGTTCAACTTATATGAAAAATTCCTGTAATTTAGTTGCGTTGTGCGTCGGAAAGCTGTAAGAAAACATTGCAACATAAGCAGAATATTGTATCATAAGAAGCATTAAGCGTTACAAATCACTGCATCCACGAGTGAAAGCTTCCGCTTTCCGAAATCCGCAATCCGCGAGAATATCGGTAATTATTCCGTCAATTCATCTTTTGAGTGTTTCATTACTGTACTTGCTTATTCGGGATATTTTATTTTACTGTACGTGCAAAGGGGCAAATTTTTCATCAGCCAGGGTAATCAAGGTTATATACAAGAAGAAGATGAATAAGAAGAATAAATTAAATCGGAAACTGCCTGGTGTTCCGTCCAACGTTCACTCGCAAAAACGCAGGGTTGGGCAGAGCGGATTCGACTCTGGCCATTGCATTGATCCATGAGGCTGCAACTGTGCACTGCATGGAGCCATGAAATCGGGCCCAGAAAATGCCTGGCTTGAAGCCCAAAGCCCCATGCGACTCATTTGTCGCCCAGGAACCCCCATCCAACTGAATAGGACCTTTCCATTATTTTTCCCTCCCGTGCCCGTTGTCGCGAAGCGAACCCACGCGCAGCAGCACCCAACAGCAGCTGACATTTGTCGCCTGTCTGGGTCACACAACGAGTGACTCAGAAATAGGTTCAGCGATGGTCATCCTCTCTAGAAGTTTGATAGCCAGAAAACAGCCGGAAATGGAGGAGGAATAGTGATGAAATGGAGAAGTGACGAATATAATTAGTTTGGCACATTTCGATAGGATAAGAACCTCGACACGCGCTAATTAGCAGATTCCGTTCATTTAGATTGGAATCTGCTCAGAAAAGACTATTTTAGCGTGTTTCACAGAAAATGTAGCAAGTCTTACATCTAAGGGCTTGGAATTGGGCTGATTACGAACGCATTTTAGGAAAATGACACAAATCAATTGATAAATTAAGACTTGATTTTGCAGTGAATATTTTGAAAATTGAGAATATAGGAATGCTTTGCGAAATCTCCAAGGAAGTTCAGGTTTAAGTCAGTTGAAGGTTTAGAAGAAAGGAGAATTTGATCGGACAGTTATTATCGTTCCAAGTGAAGTATGATTTCTATAATTTTATCTACACCACATTTCAATGCTTATTTTTGAAATAAAGTCAAATTCAAGGGAAATTTAAACTGTGCTAAGCCTCAGGATGACTTGGTTATACTGTACAGGATTTTCAAGCAAAAACCGTATGCCTCATGGTAATTATCCCGTAGAGTGATGCAACAGATCTTCTGAACTTACGCTTGCTTAAATGAGCCCTCCTTCTTTTTTTATTACCACAATACTTAAGAGAAATTCAATAATAAATACAGTAATAGGCAACCTGAAAGCAATTTCCCCCGGCAAAATAGACTTCAAAATTTTCGCACACAAAATAAATTTGCAATCCGTCCTAAATCTGCACGTCACCTCTCCGCGAACGATCGACATCCATGGCCGGCAATAAAATTTCAACAGCACTCGAGCAAAATAAGTCTTGCTGAATTGACAGAAATGAACAACTCGAATCAAAACAGCACAGAATCCTCTCATAAATGCATAGCCCTGGGAAATACGTTATTTTCGTGGCATTCTTTCTCTGCCAATTGCCCCATTGTACAGCAGGAAAGGGGGCAATGCGACGCTCACAACCATGAAGCAGCGGGTGACCACACGCTGCTGGGTCGCCAAAAATGGGAGAACCCTGATTCCCAACCCACGGGGTCCCTCGTTATAGGCTGATTTAATCACGGATAAACTCGCATTTCCCCGACCATTCCGTCGATCGATGTCTGGCTGCTGAAGCTCACTCGGTAAAGGGATGAACCGCAGGAATAATTGAAACCGTGGAAGACAGTCGCATCACAACAACGATGGGAAAGGTTAGGTTCCAAAATTTTTTTTTTTTGGCAAGAATTCGTACAGAGAAAATTTGGTACACGACTCCTGGGATGCTCCGTGAAGTTAAGCTGGCAAACAAACAGTACATCAACAGCAAACGTTAAATTTAAAATCCGAAAAACACGTAAACAAATATTTAGAAATTTTCATTTTTT